GGAAAATTGCTTGTAAAGCCTTTCCGGCAAATTCTTCTTTTTTTGGACATTTCGTCCAGCGTTCAGCAAGTGCTTCACAGCAGTTTTGCAATCCAAAGGCCACAATTCGAAAGCCGTGCGTTCCGTACCACTGCATTTGGAAAATTGTTTGTAAAGCCTTTCCGGCAAATTCTTCTTCTTGTTGGCCATTTCTCCCAGTGTTTAGCAAGTGCTTTTCACTGCAGCTTTGCATTACATAGGCCACGATTGAAAAGCCGTGCGTTCCGTACCACTGCATTTGGAAAATTGTTTGCAAAGCCTTTCCGGCAAATTCTTCTTGTTTTTGGCCATTTCTTCCAGTGTTTAGCAAGTGCTTCACAGCAGTTTTGCAATCCAAAGGCCACAATTCGAAAGCCGTGCGTTCCGTACCACTGCATTTGGAAAATTGTTTGTAAAGCCTTTCCGGCAAATTCTTCTTCTTTTTGGCCATTTCTTCCAGTGTTTAGCAAGTGTTTCACAGCCGTTTTGCATTTCATAGGCCACAATTCAAAAGCCGCAGAGTCCGTACCACTGCATTTGGAAAATTGCTTGTAACGCCTTTCCGGCAAGTTCTTTTTGTTTTTGGCCCTTTCTTCCAGTGTTTAGCAAATGCTTTTCACAGCAGTTTTCCATTTCATAGGCCACGTTTCAAAAGCCGCGCGTTCCGTACCACTGCATCTGGAAAATTGTTTGTAACGCCTTTCCGGCAAATTCTTCTTCCTTTTGGCCATTTCGTCCAGCGTTCAGCAAGTGCTTCACAGCAGTTTTGCAATCCAAAGGCCACAATTCGAAAGCCGCAGAGTCCGTACCACTGCATTTGGAAAATTGCTTGTAAAGCCTTTCCGGCAAGTTCTTCTTCTTTTTGGCCCTTTCTTCCAGTGTTTAGCAAATGCTTCACAGCAGTTTTGCATTTCATAGGCCACGTTTCAAAAGCCGCGCGTTCCGTACCACTGCATTTGGAAAATTGTTTGTAAAGCCCTTTCCGGCACTGACCCACTCACCACTGACCTCACTCACCTCACTCACCGCACTCACACCTCACTCACCTCACCCACCTCACCCACCTCACCCACCTCACCCGCCACCTCACCCACCTCACTCACTCAGTACTTCGCAGGCAAAGTTCAGCATCTTGCGGGTCCTAACACACATGCTCTTGCTCAAACTTCGCACAATAGTCGCGTTCAGTGCAAACAGAGGCTGAACACCTGAGAGCTTGCAGAAGCGCGAGATTCCCAGATCCGTGTTTCAACACGGGTCGAATGGAACTACTTGATCAAGAATCCACGCACACTTGAACACTTGAACCCCCAAAGTCACACTCTGCAACACTGACAACTTTGCAAGCTGCTGGATAGTACACTGGGAGCTCTGCAAGCTGCTGGATAGTTGGATGCTTCCAACCTCTGGTTAACCAAACTGCCAAGCGCATGCTGCTAAACGGTCTTACTCTGCAGGCTGCCAGGTTGTGCGATGCCCTCCAAGCTGCAGTGCCAGAGCATGCTGCTAAACGGTCTAACTCTGCATGTGCGATGAGCGATGCCCTCCAAACTGCAGCGCCAAACGTCAAACTCTGCAACAGTGAGAACTCTGCAAGGCTGCTGGGTAGTTGGATGCCTCCTGTCACTGCAACACTGAGAACTCTGCAAGCTGCTATGCTACAAAACGGTCTAACTCTGCAGGCTGCGGGGTTGTGCGATGCCTTCCAAACTGCAGTGCCCAACGTCTGACTCTGCAACTCTGAGAGCTCTGCCGGCTGCTGGATAGTTGGATGCTTCCAACCTCGAGTTAAACAAACTGCCACGTGCATGCTGCTAAACGGTCTTACTCTGCAGGCTGCCAGGTTGTGCGATGCCCTCCAAGCTGCAGTGCCAAACGTCAAACTCTGCAACACTGAGAGCTCTGCAAGAATCTGCAAGCTGTGGATTGCTGCCATGCTTGAACCGCGGCGCGGAGCATCGACGTCCAATCACAACAAGGCTCAAGTTGGCTGCAAGTGCCAAACTGCAAACTGCAAGTCATCAAGGAATCTGAAACTGCGTGTGCTGCCATCGCACTCTACAGTGGTACTAAGCCACACCTGCAGCCGCTGACCGACTGTAGAATACGGATGGCATTAGCACTGCTACTACACGGTCTAACTCTGCAGGCTGCCGGCTTATGGGATGCACTCCAAGCTGTTTTGCAAAAACAAATCCGCAAGACGTAGGCGCCTTGAGGTCTTGGTCTGCCAAAAATGCTTTGGCCGCTTCCGGGCGCCTGAACTCCCAGGAATCCAAATTGTTTGCCTTGGCCTAAAACGTCTTCGATCAGAACAAACTCAGAGCTTCAAGCAAACATGGCCGTAAGAGCTGCAACCCATGCTTTGTTGGGTCCCAGAATGGGGGTCACCAAAACCATACACCTCCCGCCACAGGGTTTGGACCCTCCACAGTTATAAGGCCCCTATATGATTCTAATTCTTGGAACCTTAAACCCTAAAGCCTAGACCCAAAACGGAGGCTCTCGAGGCAGCTCCAGAGCAGCTTGAGCCGGAAGATCGGGAGAGGCTTGCGACTTACAGTAGAAGACAGAAAGTTGGAACATGGCGATGAGGGTGCGTCATTCTCGGATTTCATTTCGCAGCGGTTGCCCGATCTCCCTTCCCCGCGATTGTTGACAACTGAGGCACAAGCCCAATCCCTTTTTCGTTCTTCTACGATCACAGAAATGAATTAGAAGCGTTCATTGACCTCTTTACCACTACAGTGTGTGCCGGCACCATGGATATCTGCCTGGTTGACAAAGCCGGCAGGTTCACCATGAAGGGGAGGGATGCACACCAACGGCTCACTGCTGGTAGCACGCGCCTACGGCCCACGGTGGGGCATTGTTGCGGCCTTCCAGCTCCACGCATCGCTCCACCAAACCTCCATCAGTTTGGAGGCGCAACGCCCGCCACGAGAGGACGAGGATACGGCTACTGAATTTTACCAGCATTCGATGCTTGCGCACTGGTTGCTACCAGTGGCTTGCCGGGCTACCCTGCACAGTTGCTCCTGCAAGACATTGAATTTGAGCGTGGGGTCAGCCCATTCGAGAACCTAGTTGTCAACCCAACTTGCTGCGTCGTCGTTCAGAATAACACAAACGGAAAAATGTCTCGATCTCAGGCAGACCCGTCGTGTTGGTTGTCAACCTAGTTGTCAACCCAGTTGTCAACCTAGTTGTCAACCTAGTTGTCAACCCAGTAATCAATCACCTAGTTGTCAACCCTACTTGCGCCGTAGTGATGCCAGCTCGTGCCAGAGGCTCGTCTCTCTCTTATGCTGTGCCTCTAGACTGCTCTAGAGATCGTCGTGCTTGAGCAATTCAAAATCGAAAGGGTGTTGAACGAAAAACGAAAGATCGACAGGGGTTAGTGCGTTTGACGACAACGATCTTTGGCCCTTTCGCTCCAAAATTTTCCTCGCAATCGCAGTCCACTCCGCTCCCTCGTTCGCTCCGTTCGCTCCATGTCCGAAGGTAACACTCTCTCGATTTTGAATTAGCTCCAAGTACGATCTCTGGAGCACCAGCGTTGGCGGTCGTGCGCTCGTCTCTCCCCCTCTATTCTCACCGGTGTCCTCACTGCTGTCCTCATGCAGGAGCACTTGAGGTGCTGCAGCGACTGTGAGAATGCCGGAGCTGCAGCATAGGTGAGAGCTTGGAGGGCTGCAACTCGGAGCTTGGAGGCTGTAGCAGCTGTGAGAGCTGGAGGCTGCAACGACTGTGAGGACGTCCTGAGCCTGGAAGAGCGCTGCAGCAAGACTAGAGCTGCAGGGTGCCGTTGGCACTGCAATCGGCAGGCAGAACACTTGGCAGAACACTTAGACAGAACATTTGGCGGAACATTAGACCCGGCAGAACATTTAGGCAGACATTTTGGCCAAACAAGACCGTCGTCGCGTCCTCGTTGCGTTGTGGCTGGCAACAACTGCGTGGCAACATTTGCGTGGCTCGGTGGCAACTTTCTGGTGGCAACATTTGGTGCGGCCGTGGTAGCAACATTGGTGGCAACGTTTCGGCCGTGTCCTCCTCGTCGCCGCAACGTCGTCGTTGCCTCGTCGTCGTCGCTTCGTCGTCGGGTCGTCGTCGTTGTGGTCGCGTCGTTGCGTCGTCGTCCTCTGAAAATCCCTGTTCAAAGCAACTGACCTTCCTTTCGTTGGTATCGAAGGTTTTTCGTTTTGGGAGCCCTAAAGGGGCTTGAAAGCAGGATTTAAAGTGAGCATTGAAGACCATGACCAGTGAACAGTGGACAGCAACAGCAGCAAAAGCAGGAGCAGCAAGCAGCCGGAAAACAGATTGGAAATTGGAATGGGGGTGGGGCAGGGCAAGCTCAAAAATGATGTCTATATTGTTGCCAGAGAGAATATACACGACACTGTTCTCTGTGGTGGTAGTAGTAGCAGCAGTAGCAGGAGTAGTAGTAGTAGCAGCAGCAGAAGTAGTAGTCGGTAGTCGTAGCAGTAGTAGTAGCAGCAGCAGTAGTAGTAGTAGTAGTAGTAATAGTAGAAGTGCTAGTCGTCGTCGTCACGGTTGTTGTAGCGGTAGTGGTACTAGTAGTGGTAGTGCTAGTAGTACAGTCTAAAGTGGTAAAGTGGTAGTATAGAAGCAGCAGTAGTAGCAGTAGTAGTAGTAGTAGCAGTCGTAGTACTAGTATTAGTTGCAGCAATGACACTGTCTTCTGTCCAATGCACGTGTGCATGTGCTCGCGCGCGCTATTGACTGTTCCTGCACGCACTGTTGCCTATGCTCGCACATGCTGTTGTGAAAAATTTTCTGCAAAGTGTGAGCCTCCTGTGCTGGCTGACATCTTGAAATTAATTACACTTTTGGAGTCTGAGAAACCTTCACGAGGTCAATCTTCTGAGAACACCTTTTCTTGGACCTCAGGCGCATACGCTAAAGGTCCTTTGCGAGGGCTTCGGAAACATGCTTCTGTTTTCCCCGCTTGTACGCGCATGCTTTGCAGGCTTGTGCTCCAAGCTTTTCCGGAGGCCGATTTTGGCGCGGTTGCAGTTTTTAAGAATTTGCGAACACCTCTACATGTCGACATTAACAACTCTCCGGGATCGGTAAATTACTTGATTCCTGTGTCCTCTTTCACAGGTGGCGAGGTGTGGCAAGAAGGACAGGGATCCGTTGTTGTGCGCGATGAGTTGGGCCATCCACTCATGGGCTCGCTCCTTCCGGTTGCAGATGGGCCCTGTGTCGTAGATCCGCGACGCACCCATTGTACCATGCCGTGGGTCGGTGAGCGAGTGCTTCTCGTTGCATTTAAGCCTGCGCATACTCGTGATTTGTCCATAACCTTCAAACAGCAACTGCCAGAGGCCAGCTTGCTGCCGACGAGACCGGTTCTTCCGAACTCTGATGTCGTTTGGAATGACCCCCTTGTTATCGAGCTTTTTGCGGGCAACGGCCGTGTCACTGCTTGCCTCAAGCAGTTGGGACTTTCGGCTGCTGGGGTTGACCGTAATCCTAGTAAGTCCGTGTCCTTCTGTCTACCGGCGGACCTCACCTCGGCTCGAGGCCAGAAGCTGTGCAAGGAGTGGCTCGCCTCTCCTAGATTGGCCGGCATTTTTGCTACGCCCCCAGCCTTCACCGCTGCCAATGCTGATGCAATCACATTCTTGTTGCATGTGTTGTCCACATCCTTGACCAATGGAGTCCTTTGTGCCATCGCGAATCCTCGACAAAGTCGCTTCTGGCAAAACCCTCAGTGGAGGGCTGTTGCCTCCTCTTTTCGTTTTGTTGCCTGCCAGGAGTGTACCTTCGGTGGCAGACATGACGATCACACCGTTTTCGCAGTGTCAGATAGTGGCTTTGACAAGTTGGCTCGTTCCTGCCCCGGCCCTCCGTGCAAAGTCTTGAATCGCTGCCCCGATCCTGGCACCGGTTACCCTGCTCACCTCGCAATGCAAGTAGCATGCTGCTTCGCCCAAGTTTTCGTCAAGAAAGGTTGGCAACCGCCCAGCCAATGTTTCGATGCATTCGACCCTCGACTTCAGGTGCCGATGTCACGCGCTCTAGCAGGTGCTCAGCCTCCGGCTAGCAAGATTCCCCCGCTCGTCCCGGAACATAAGCGTGTGGTCGTGCTTCGCCACCCGCCTGGCCTCCAACTACCGTGCCAGCCCATGCAGCGTCTTACTACAGATTGGCTCGTGCCTCAGGGGTGCCATGCTCCCTGCGCCTGCATTCCTGCGAAATCCCAGCTTCTCAGGCACGTGCCGGTAGGTCAAAGTGGGGGCGACGAGACTGTGAAAGTAGGTTTGTGGGAAATGGCTTGGGGAAATCCTTGGGACCCAGAAGAGTTTATGAAGACGGCCAATGAGTCCAGCCATCCTCGGACCATTGGATCTGTGCTCCCTCAGCCACTTAAGGATTCTCTTGATGCATTGGACGAGAAGAATGACGCCGAAGTAACCGAGCTTAGAGCTAGGGTTATTAAGGAGTGGGTTCACCTTTCGGTTTCCCTTGCTCAGGATGAAGCAAAGTTGAAAGCAAGCATGCACCCTGACGTCCGTGCCATCACCGAACCGAAACGCATTTTGCTGTGGGAGTCTCTGATGGCGAGGTACGCTTATCCTGACCCTGGAGTGTCCAGTCTCCTCAAGGAAGGGATTCCCTTAGTGGGTCACGCGCCCATCTCGGGCGTCTTTAAGCCGAAGTTCAAACCTATGCAAGCCACGCCAGAGCAAGTGCGCGAGGATTTTCATGATTTTCGGAAAAAGGTCCATAAGTCCCTTAAACCCCAGGAGCACTCCCTAATGTTCGAAGTTTTTGAAAAGACTAAGAAGGAGCTAGAGGCGGGCTGGATCATTGGCCCTCTTAGCGAATCCAACTTGTGCTCAGGAACTTTGGTGAGCAGGCGGTTCGGATTGCGGCAAGGCCCGAAGGTTAGGTGCATTGACAACTTGACTTCGTCTGGGTAAACTTAGCAGTGCAGGCTTATGAAGCTCCCCAACCGCAGTCCACTGATGTGGTGGCTTCCACGTGCCAGCGTCTTCTTAGGTACATCAAAAGGAAAGTAGGCAAGGCCGTCTTCAACCTCTTGGGAAAGGCTTTTGATCTTACCGCTGCTTATAGGCAGCTACCGGTGCACCCGGGCAGCGAGTGGGCTTCATACATTTGCTTGATCCATCCGGAGACTCATGAGAGAGTGTACTTCCGCATGAGGGCGATGCCATTTGGCTCTTCCATGGCAGTGTATAGTTTCTTGAGAATCAGCCACTCGCTCTGGTTCTTAGGAACCAAAGCCCTCCTTCTGCCCTGGTCGTCGTTTTTCGATGACTATATAACATTTGCCACTTCCGGCCAAGCTCTGTCGGCGGAATCGTCTGTCACTGCAATGTTCAAGTTACTTGGATGGGCCTTCGCTGAGTCCGGTGACAAATCGCATGACTTTGCAAAATGCTTCACTGCATTGGGAATAGTTGCTGACCTGAGTCAGGTTCGCGACGGGGTGATTTACTTTAAGAATACGGAAAAGCGTATTGAGGAAATCAAATCCTTTGTGCAAAAGGTGTTGGAGGACGGCCGTCTTCCACATCATGAAGCGCTTCGCCTCAGAGGGAGGTGTCAGTTTGCAGATTCTCAAATCTTCGGCCGCACTGGGAAGAAGTGTCTAGGATTGATCACTGCACACGCCTATGGTCTCGAGGAGGCTATCAGTCACGAGCTTCGCGTGTCGCTTGAAAGGTTTCTGCAAAGGCTTGAGTGCGATGCACCGCGACTTATCAAGATCCTTGAAGGCGGGTTCTGGAAGGTGTACACGGACGCATCCTACGAGCCGGGTGCAACCACGAGTTACTGTGGAATAGGCGGTGTGTTGGTTGATCCTAGTGGTGTGCCTAGAAAGTTCTTTTCAGCTGTCTTGGACGATTCCCAAAAGATTTTCTTAGGCGAATCCAAGTCAGCCCAGATCATTTTTCAAGCAGAATTGCTGGCGCTCACAATCGCTATGGATGCTTGGTCACACGACTTTAAAGGCTGCCCTGTAATTTTCTTCGTGGACAATAACGGGGTTCGTGACATCACCATTTCGGGGCATGCGAAAGCGTCGATAGCCAGGCGACTATTGGAGATTTTCTTGCAATTGGAGCATGATGCTTCAGTCGTGCCTTGGTACGCGAGGGTACCATCACCATCAAACCCCGCAGATGAACCTTCGCGGATCGAATGCAAAAGCCTGTGCCTCTTGGGCACTCATCTTGAAAGATCCACCGTGGGCGGCATCATCACCGCTTGCTTGAAGAAAGTACAGGGGCTCCGGTGAGTCTGCAGTCACTGGACGAAGCTAAAGGATTCCTTAAATAGGTTAAGTTGGGGTGAAAGTCAGCAGGGCCCCTCCGAGAGGGCTGCAACTCCCTGCGTGCAATTAGTGTAGAAGAATGCCAGCCTGGCATGTAGCTAGTGTACCTGTGCTGAAGCAGCACACATGCATCTGACATCCCATCGTCACCGAAGGAAAAGTCTTACGAGTGCGATCCGCAGTTTGCGAGTTTCGGTACAAGCAGTCATGTCAACCTTGTTGCTTCAAGCTTTTCAATTCTTATTGCAGCTCGAGGGCTAAAGCACTTAAAGTTTTCTTGCAGCTGTTTGGTCCAAGTCGTTCGGCTCGAGAGAACCACACAGTCTCGCCCCGAGATAGTGGGTTCTCTTGAGCCAGAGCGAAGGCCCTCGCGTGGGCCGCCTTGGACAAACTTAGGAAAAACCTTCTTGTGCCAGCTTGATTTTCTTGTTGCACTTCCTCTGTTTTCTTGAAGCTTTTTGCAAACCTCTTTGCGGTTCCGGTCAGTTCGTGCAATGCCATCTCACATGCAGAGTTGTGTGCTCAAGCCGAGCAGAAATTTTTTGTCCAACCCACCCGCCCTGACACTGGCGTGGTGCTCTTGAGGGGTGAAAGTCAGCAGGGCCCCTCCGAGAGGGCTGCAACTCCCTGCGTGCAATTAGTGTAGAAGAATGCCAGCCTGGCATGTAGCTAGTGTACCTGTGCTGAAGCAGCACACATGCATCTGACATCCCATCGTCACCGAAGGAAAAGTCTTACGAGTGCGATCCGCAGTTTGCGAGTTTCGGTACAAGCAGTCATGTCAACCTTGTTGCTTCAAGCTTTTCAATTCTTATTGCAGCTCGAGGGCTAAAGCACTTAAAGTTTTCTTGCAGCTGTTTGGTCCAAGTCGTTCGGCTCGAGAGAAACTTTTTCACTTTCTGTCGAGACTTTGAAGCAGTGATGGTTGCGAGAGGACCGGAAACACCTTTCGCTAGGAATGAAGAGCGAGTTCCGGAAGAACTGAGTACGCCGGTTGTGCCGGTAAACATCGCCCCTGGAAGGAGCGAAGGAGTATTAGGACCAACCTGCGATGGAGACGGAAATCCGTTGTCAGAGTTGGAGATGCAGAAGTCTGCGCAGAAGCTGAAGAGCGCAGAGAAAGAGAAAGTACGAGTGGAAGCAGAACCGTAGAACCCTTCGGAAGAAGAGCGACTAGCTCATGAAGCAACACACCTACCGTTTGCACATTGGTGTGAGTCATGCGTGGAAGCCAAGAGTAAACAGGATCACGAAAAGAAGAACCCCGAGGCAGGAAAGGACTCAGTGGGAGTACCTTATCCCATTATTCAGCTGGATTTTATGTTTCTACAAGGAAAGGACACACCAGCACTGGTTGGAATTTGTTCATGGACACGTATGTCAGTTGTGATCCCAGTATCTGGAAAACAGACCGAACGGAAGACAGTGGAGAAAGTGTTGAAATGGGTACACAGTCTTGGACATTTGGACGAACTAGGATTCGTTGGAGATTCAGAAGAGGCAATGCTGTCTCTGATAGCTGCAATCGTGGAGACTCGGAGAAAGATGAACCGGAAGACTCACGATCAGAACAACAAGCCGTACCAGAAAGGAAGAACGGCAAGAGTGGAACGGTTTATTCAGACGGTGAGGAACCAGACAGCATGCTTAGTACGGGCAGCGGAAAAGAAGCTTGGTATAGAGGTTCCCGAAGGCCATTCAGTTTGGGCCTGGGGATTGTGCCATGCGTCGTGGTTGCTGAACAGGTACCACAGACACGCTGCGATAGGTTCAACGCCCTATGAAGTGTCGTGGGCAGACCTTACCTCGGAAAGATAGCCCCATTCGGTGAGTATGTATATGCTCTAAAGAAACCAGAGAAGAAAGGAACAGCGAATTGGATTGGAGGAATCTATCTAGGTAAGAACTCCCAGGATATGCATTTGGTAGGAGTTGAAGACGGAGTCTTGGCTACTGGATCGGTAAGACGTATTGCCACTGGATGGAGAAAAGAACCCCTACTGAAGCTGAGTGTAACTCCATGGAACCCCAAGAAACCAAAAGGAACATTCAGTAAACAGCCGTTACCAGCCCCAGCGTTGGCAAGTATCGCCGAAGAAGAAACAGCGCAGGAACCTGTAGTTCGTATGGAAGATCGAGGACATTCTCAAGAAGAACAAGTGGAAGAACTATTGGATATGCTGGACACAAGTGGAGCCTCTAGCGGAGGCAGGCCTCAGACGGAGGCAGGGCCAGCACGGGATCGAGTTCTCATTCCCGGAGCTCGAGTTCGATGCACGATGTACAAACTGGAGAGCCTGAAGGAAACCAAGTACGTGTTAGTTAGGACACTATGCTGGAAGACTTGCGAAAGCGACCAGTAGAAGGAGGACAAGGAGTTGAAGGATCTCCAAAGAAGTCACGTGAAGAACCATCGGCGCCATCATCACCCTCCAAAGGAATCTACCCGCCTTTGTTCGCAGGCAGGGTATCTCAGGAAGATGACCCATTCCATTGGGATGAACACGAGGATCTCACAGCAGTAGAAGGAGAAGATATAGAGTATGAAGATCTCATGGAAGAAGAGATGGAAGAAGTTCCCAAGAATGACCAAGGAGAAACACCACCGGAGTTGAGTCCAGAAGAGCTGGATGCCTTGGATCAAGAAGCAGCAGTGGAAGAGCTAAATCGCCTTAGCAAGCTAGGAGTAATTGAGGAATTCATGGAGGCGAACGCGACAGGGAACGAAAAACGCATGGATTTGCGTGAAGTCTACGACTGGAGGTTTCGTGACAACAGGTGGAAAAGACGTTGCCGGATAGTGGCAAGGGAGTACAGGGCAGGTGCGAGTTCTACGGCTGAGACATTCAGCCCGACGGCGAGCAACGCCGCGTCGCGCCTAGTCTTGTTGTTACACCTGGTGTACAGGTGGGTCGTAGTAGTCCTAGATATAAAGGACGCATACCTTCAGGTCCCGCAGCAAGAAGAGGTGCTAATCACGATCAGCGATTGGATGAAGCGAGCTGCCAATCTGAAGGAAGGAGTGCTGTGGAGGTTGAAGAGATGCCTCCCAGGCCAACGTAACGCAGCAACAAGATGGTATGAACACTTGCGGAGTATACTGGAGAAACTTGGATTCATATTCTCAGTTCATGTACCCGCACTGGCTAGACACACCACAAGGAAGCTGTGTATCTCTATCCATGTAGATGACGAATTGCTAGCTGGAGAACCGGAAGAAACGGTTTGGCTAGTGGAAGAGTTGGAGAAGGTGTTCAAGGTGGAGAAAGAAGGACCGTATCCAGCCGACGGAGTAGGAAAAGGAGAAGAGATGCGGTATCTCAAAAGGAAGTATGTCTTCATTCAGGAAGGAATATAGTAGTTCACAAATCGTTGGCATACGGAAATCGACTTCAATATGCCATTCACTCCGTTTTTTGGTAAAACCTGGCTCTTAGAACAAATCCTTGGCATATCTGACGAAAACTTGGGCTCAGAAGAGGGGGCTTGGGGAGTAGACACAAATGCCTGGCACATCTGATTGCAATTCTCGATTGGCTTAAAAAACCCTAATGGCCCTAATGCCTCAATGCCCGAATACCCTAATCTCCTTAAAATCCAAACATCATGCTGCCACAATATTTTGGGAGTGTGGCTTGAAACAATTATTCAGTTGTTCGATGATTTTGCACCTTGCCGCGCCGCCGCCGCCGAGCTCTAGGCTAGGCCATAGCGGAAGTGTTTTGAACATATCCTAGCAGCGCAGCAGCAGCAGCAGCAGTAGTAGACACAAATGCCTGGCACATCTGATTGCAATTCTCGATTGGCTTAAAACAACACACAATTTGCGGCCCATTTGTTGCACGTCGCTTCGTCGGTGAGTCCGGACCTGAGCTTCAGAACTCAGAGTGCTTGCCGGGGTTTCTTTTGTTTTTGGAAGGGTCTGGGTTTGTGTGGGGTTTCTTTCTCGAGCGAGTGTCTGTGTGCGTGCAGGAGTGCCTGGTTCTGCTGCCCCGGCCTTTTGCCGTAAACCCCATCCCGATTCGCAGGAGTCCTGCGAGTGTGTGCCTAGGTGCTGCTCGGGGCCTGTGCGCCTCCTTCGACTTGTGCGTTGGTACCTTCCTCATGTGCCATGCATTCGTGTGGCCGCTGGTGCATGCGTTTTTAAAAAACTGCAGCGTCTTCTTCTTTGGCTTACTTCTCCTTTCCTGTCCTCCCGAGCCTAAACCTTTGTCTTGTGCTGCCCAGGCAACCTTGACTCGACATCCTCACTGTGGTCCTCACTCGTGCACCGGCCTGGGCCTTGTCTTCAGTCTGGCAGGAGTGAGGGGTGTAGGACCGTGTAGGAGCGACTGTTGTGGGCGCAGTGCATTTCGTGGAAGCGTGCCTCACATGTGCCATCAATTTGTGTGCCTTCCTGGCGTGCCCGTAGGTCCCCCTTTTGCCCCGCGAGTGTGTTGCCCAGATCCGGACCTTTGTCATCCCATGCCGGCGCCTCTGAGGGTTTGTTCGGATGTTCGGCGGTTTGCGAGTGTGTGCGCGTGCAGGAGTGCCTTGTGCTGGTAAAGCTAGAGCCCGCCTCGCGTGTGTATAAGCATGTGTAAGCTCTCCCGATCTCCCTCCTATCCGCGTCGCTCAGGTCTGACCTCGCTGGGCGGGCGACGCGTCTTTGGGCCTGGATCTTGAGCTTGCAAGGACAAGAAAGTCCCCGTCGTCTTCCTCGCCAGACAGACCTGAGCGACGCGGATAGGAGGGAGATCGGGAGAGCTTACACATGCTTATACACACGCGAGGCGGGCTCTAGCTTTACCAGCACAAGGCACTCCTGCACGCGCACACACTCGCAAACCGCCGAATATTTCGTTAGGCAGTTTTCTTTCGGAGCACGTTTCTCCTTTGCTCCCACTTTTGAATCTCGCTGCCGCGCATGCTCCGGTTCGAGTTTCGTGTTGCCTGCGCTCAGGCTTCTGGCGAGGAAGACGACG